CTACAGTGTTTATTGGAGTACTGAGCAACTATAAGGCTTGTAGTCCAACCTACTAGTCTTGTATTAAGACATTGACAATCAGTGTACTGAGCTGGGTGGCATACTGCTTGGGTTAGCTAAAGGGCGCTCCAGTGTGTTTCAACTTCAACAAGTGCAATCTCCTTCAACACTTTGTACAGTAAGTAGGTCACTACAGTGATAACTAGAAGTGATGAGACATTGTGTAATGTATGTAGAAAGTGTTCTATCACTACAGTATGCTCAACAGAATCATCTGGGAATCGCGAGTTGTCCAGTACTAATCAATACAGACCATCGTCTCGGTCGGCAGCGTTGTCAAAGAACCAGTGCAAACTGCTCAAGGTTTGCACATGAAGCTCCCCATGGATACCTCAAGCAGCCTGCAAATACTCCAGAACCAGCTGGAAGTTTCGAACAATGAGATCGGGTTCAGTCGAGTCCAAGCCCTGCCGAAGAAGAGCAATCATGGCCTCAATCAAACCTCCCAAATGCCGGTTATGATGTTGTAATGCACTGCCTGGGCTCGAATGATAGAGACGGTGAGCAAAGGTGGCAACCTGGCAAAGGTCCTCGCGCACGCGAGTCAACTCCCCCTCCAGTTTGGACACCAGAGGAAGGGAGACATCGTAGAAGCCTTCCTCGGGAAACTCTTGAACCATCCGTTCAAGGAAGGACGCACGGTCATGGAACTGATGGACCTGTTCCTGCAAGGTCTCAATATGTTGCCGTTGACGAACAGCCAAGGCATTGCTCTCATCAACCAGACCTTGCTGCTGCTCGAGGGAGGCCCAACGCTCTGAATTACGCCGAATGGAGGCAGAACGTTGATGATCAGCCTCCTCTCTCCCTTCCCGCATAGTAATGAGCTCCTCCTGGATCTCGTGCAATCTCTCCAATAAGGAGCTGGAACGTATATGCAGTACTAGATACTTACCTGCTCGGGATGTCCTGGGAGAGCCCTCTCCAGTGTTTGGAACTGATCCAAAACATGGGAGTACTCCAGTCCCTGCTGAATAACCTCCTGCTGGGAAGTCCGCAATTGTTCCACTTCACACTGGCGGGCTTCTAGCGAATGCGAGGTATCTCGCAAGGCGGAAGTGAGAGACGAGTTCTCCCGCTGAGACTCCGCGAGCTGAGCCTCCAAGGCACGGACTCGCATGGACAACCTTTCGTTTTCAATGCAATAAGGGTGGAGGGTGGAAGTACGAGGAACAAGAGGTGAGCGAGAGGGAGGCATACTGGAAGACAACAGATCCTGCCCGATACCCTTTATACTACTCAAAGGAGCACGATCTGCACCAGCCCGTTGTTCAGCAATAGCTGCCAAACGAACCAGGTCAGTTGAACCCTGCACTGAACCAGGTTGATTAGACCCAACAGGGATAAGACAACTTCGGTTTCGGGAATCCCTAGGCGAGATCGAATTGTCAATGACAACAGGATCAAGGGAGGTCGGGAGCATGGACGGGTTGGTTTTGGCGACAGTTTTTGGGTGGGAAGGACGACCAGGAGGAACTACCGGCAGTGAGGCAGGGGGAGGGGACAAGTGACAATGACACTTCCGGGAGGTCTTGCCACGAGAATCAGAGGAGGTGGCTTCCCCAGGTCCGAAAGGAGAAGAAGTCTGTTTACGTTTCGAAGCCACAGACGGACTTCAACAAAAAAATTTTAAGTACCACGTGAAGATCAGGTGACCTTCCAGAAATGCATCTACCCATCACGAGGGCACAATGGAATTGCAGGGGGGGGTAATGTCATGCTCTGACTACAACCAGGCCAGTCCCAGTAGCAACCACACGCCCCCACACCTCCTATCTCACGCACCTCACGGTCCCAGTGTTAGGATTCAATCCTGACACCCTAATGAGGTGTAAATGGTATTATGCAAAATTCCATCAACCAAGGCAAAAGTAGATAGTAAGTCCTTAAGAAGTGTTGATTGGATGGCCACTGTTACCATATGTAAAGTCCTCATTAGTTGAACCAAGGCCGGATAGCTCAGTTGGTTAGAGCATCTGGGATATAACCAGAAGGTCCTGGGTTCAATCCCCAGTTTGGCCACTTTGTTTTCAGTCATGACTTTAACACCCAGTACCTCCCCAAGACAGTACAACCATCCCTTCCCAGATACCCTTCCCATTTCCAAATGCCTTGACAACTCCCCGACACGCGTAGCTCCCCCGACATGTGCACAAGACCCTCCTACCACCAAACCCATTAAGTATTAATCTCGATTACCTGCCTCATGTTCTCCAGATCACCCAATGTCCCCTTGTTCACTTCCCATACCTATTTAAGTAGTCTTGCAATGTTCCGAAGTCCCAGCTTGGTATATTTTGAACACATACCCTTTTACATAGGTCCAGTCCCTGTCCCTTTGTACCTGCTAACTATACGGATTTCTCTTACTCTCTGTTTCCCTATCTCTGTTTCTTTACTTCTATCTTCGTCTCTACGGTCGTCTAAACGATCCAATACACGCTTTTACCTCATGTCTAAGCAACCCAAGTGAGTCTTCAAGCTCCCTTGACCAATGCTAAAGCTCCCCAACATCTATCGTTTTGGCGAGCCAACCTCCCCCAAACCTCCTCAAGCTCCCCAAGTGCTCCACAAGCTCAGGGACCTTGATCTAGGTAACATTGAAGCTATCCCCTATGTCAAACTATGTACCGCTTCTCCGTTACTCCCTCCAACGATTGAGGACGTCCTCCTCTAACCCCACTTCCCGGGACCTCCCTCCCAGGCTTACACTCCATCGGGAGCTCCCACGTTCAGAACTCACATCAGCTACAATCTATAATGATCCTGTGCTGTCGCTCCTATCTACTACAACTCGTACTACGCAACAGTCTGACACTCCCTAGCTCCTAGTAACCTTTAGTCCCCCATTAACATCCTAGGTACCTCCCAGGACCTCCTAGGAACCTCTTCAAGGGTCACCCCTTTCAATCCGAATTATTCTTAGGTCATTCCTGTCCTCGGTCGCGGTTCCTGTAGCTCCCTTCGAGCTCCAGCTTGCTCTTAGCACGCTACAACATAAATCCCTTATACCAAACCTACCCTAAGACCAATTCTGACCCAGGTCTTACAAGAACTAGTAGCAGCCAAGTCGGAGTGGCGGTAACGCTGACGGGGAGCGAACCAAAGAACTTATAAGTCCTAAGGTCAGAGTGAGAAGTACTTCAAGGCGACGAGCCTGAAGACTAGAGAGTGACAAGAATACAGAGGAAGTCTCAAGTCGAGGATGTTAAGAGAATAATCTAAGTTGATAATTAAATTGAGGAACTACAGTATAGTACAGGCAGTATTTATATCTACGGATTGGCGCATTGGGGCGGAGCGCCAGACTAACTACTAGGAGCTATACGAGTAGTACCTGCAGGGAAGACAATAAGACAATAAGAAGGAACTAGGATGAAAGGGTTTGTGTAACGAGAAAGAACAATAAGAAGAAGATTACAATAAAAGGGTCGATCTCGGAGTCCCGAGCAGCGAGGCGCGGCACCGAGGCATGAACTTGACAGCATATCTACACAAAGTGATAATTTTGATGGTACATGTGAATCTGAAGAGCTGTGATTGAGAGACCACAAAAGTTTTTGTATATCATCTGTCATTTCTTTTTTGTTCTCTTTTCATCCTGAG